ACCCGCCTACTTCGAGCCATCCCACATGTAACACTCAGGTGGTTAAACTGCAGGTTCCGCTCATTTTTAGCTTAGGCAAACTCCAGAAGAGTCAATAAGCTCTCACGATCAAGTCGCCATAGAAGAGGCAGTCGGATGTGCACTCCACTTTACAGTGCGCGATACAAAAACACTTATAAGTATACTCAAGGAAATAATGACAGGGTAGTTAAATAACTTGCCATGTATTTCGTTGCACACTTGAAAAGCTCCTCCCACCACATTAAACACCTCAGTTAGTGTGGCATTCTCAGGGCTGCCGTTGTAAATACCCACACCTAGAATGGTTGGTGGCGCTTGTTTCCACTGCTGGCAAAGTTCCAACTGTGTCTGCTTGGAAAATTTTGTCACTGGAATACCAGTGCCTTCCATCACAACGTGGGCAAGTTGCCAGGACGCGTTGTTCTGACTCGAACAGGCTTGTTGGACAATGCGATGAAATATAAACTCCAGACGCTCCCAGTGTAATGATAGGCCGCTGTAGACAACAAGGATTAATGCCAGCAATGGCAGTGCGATCGCTATAGCCAAAAGACGTCTGAATTGGCCGGACAGCTTGACATGCTTATGCGGTGTCTCGACAGACCCGGTACGAGACTTAGTGCCAGAGGGGTATACAAAATCTTGGACTCCCTTGAAGGCACAATTTTCGTAAAATTGAGTACCCTGAATTGGACAGCGGTACGCCCACTGAGCCATGTGAAATGAAGACGCAGTGGCGTGTACGTGATTACGCGTAGGCATTTGTGGGTGTAGGCGTGGGGATTCGCGTGCGTTGTGATTGGTCGAACACATTCTTTGCTATTAAATGGGTATGAGGCTTCTCAAACAATTTTGTTTTCTAATTTAAATATTTGATAGTAGACAAGGCTGTTCAATGAAGTCATCTACATGTTGCGCTTAAGACGCAGTGTTGGAATGCAGTCCTTCCCCTGTTTTTCCTCACCTCTCATTTTTGCAGTGGATGGAATCTCGTATTAATAAATAAAATTGTTGAGACAATTTTCTGACACACTGGCTCTTTTTAGGATGTAGTTTGAACTAGTGCATACAACATCCAAGAGGCAGTTAAGATAACTCGTTTAGATGAGTATAATAATTAAACATTGCTTTAAAATAATCACCATTAATCACCAAATCTAATTGCTGAGCGGTCTTGATGAAATGACTGAACGCCTATCGTTACACTGTGGTCCATGACAAGTGCAAGTCAATAAGGCTATAACCACGCCATCATATTCTGCCGCCCCGTTCATTTCCCTCACACCGTACGGATAAAGTCTTCACCGATTATTGGCGCTTCATATTGGGGAACTCTCTTGTTTAACTAGTTTTTCAGCTATGAACTGCTGTGCATCTCAACAGGGTTGCAACTTTTGCAACAGTTGACTAAATTGTGCCGAGCACTACAGTCCATTGTAACATGCTTGCTCCACCAGAACTAATGTTCTCTGTATCT